ACCTTCTCCCCAAACCCCCAGAAATGCCTTCCCTCCTCCTGAACTTTTGTTCTCCTCAGTCAAGTTTTTGGTAAATGCCTTCCACTTTCTTGAGCTGCGGTTTTCTAACTCTTGTCTGCATGGCGAGTTTTCTGCCTCCTGACCCCGCTCCGTACTACAAGTGACATACGTCTTTCTCTGGACCTTTGACAGGGCTTAGGCTCAGCCAGTAATTGTCTTAGTTGTATTATTTGTCAGGGAGAAGGAGGGGAATCTCCAGAAACATACCTGGTAAGTTTCCCAAGCAGCCTCTTAAAGTTCTGTCAGAATCGCTCCTTTGGGCTAAAATGTTTAGTCCATTATAAATTTCTCCATTGAAGGGCACAGTCCGTGGAGCATGCAACTCTTAATCTTGGGGTTGTGGGTTCGAGCCCCACATTGGGTGTAGAGATTACTTAAAACCTTTAAAATAAACAAATAGGGGCGCCTGGGTGGCTCAGTCGTTAAGCATCTGCCTTCGGCTCAGGTCATGATCCCAGGGTCCTGGGATCGAGCCCCGCATCGGGCTCCCTGCTCTGTGCAGGGCCTGCTTCTCCCTCTCCCGCTCCCCCGCTTGGTGTTCCCTCTCTAGCTGTCTCTCTCTCTGTCAAATAAATAAATAAAATCTTTAAAAAAATAAAATAAACAAATACATTTCTCCATTGATTTGGTAGGAGAGGATCGTAGAGTACAGACTCTGGAGTCAGGCCGCCTGGCTTCACGTCTCTGCCTTGCCACTGAATAGCAGTGCAACCCTGGGCCAGGTGCTGTACTTCTGCAGACCTGGTCCCTCCCCCTTTCACACAGGCTGTGTGGAGGATAAAATGAGATGACGCATGCACAGCATTTGGCCCAGCACCTGGTATATGATAAGGCCTCAATAAATAGTAGCTGTTACTGTTCCGTTCTCAACCTCGTGTCAGGTTCTAGGCCAGTTGCTGGGTCTCCAGGATACATGAGATGTGGTTGGCCCTCAGGTAGTGCTTGTCCCAACCAGATTTGAGGTGGCCCCAGAGAGCCAAGTACCAACATGGGGTTCTGCACAGAGCTGGGGGAGCACAGAGATCATGGGTGGTCAGGGACAGGGCCTGTGACCTTAGGCTGGCCTTGAAGATCCCGTGAAATGTCACGCTGGGCAGCTGCAGAAGCATAAAGGAAAGACACAGGGCAGTTGAGGAATAGCATGGGGGCCGCAGGTGGGGAGTTTGTGATAAGAGGGGCTGTTAGGCAGAGAGGCCGGGCCACACCACATGTCCCAGGGCCTTGTTAAAGGAAGCGTTGTTAGCTTTAGCAAACTAAGTATAAGCCACCTAGTTAAATATGAATTTCAGATAAGCAACAGATAATTTTGAAAGTGCAAGTATGCCCCAAATATTGTATGGGTTATACTAAAAAAAATGGATTTTGTTGTTTATTTGAAATTCAAATTTAACTGGGCAGACTGTTGTTTATCTGGCAGCCCTGCCCGTATGCCTGGTTCCCAAAAGGCCCTGCTCAAATGCAGCCAGGTTTTACTCAAGAGGAAGAATCCTGTTAACTTGTTGGAGCAGATTTATTTTTCAGAGTAGCTTGAAAGTGAAATGAGGGCGCCTGGGTGGCTCAGTTAGTTAAGCATCTGCCTTTGGCTCAGGTCATGATCCCAGAGTCCTGGGATCGAGCCCTGCGTAGGGCTCCCTGCTCGGCAGGGAGTCTGCTTCTCCCTCTCCCTCTGCCTCTGCCCCTCCCCACTGCTCATGCATGTGCTCTCTCTCAAATAAATTAATAAAATCTTAAAAAAAAAAAAAGTGAAATGAGAGATAAGGGAGGTCAGTTGAGGGGTTAAAGAGTGGGGACAGAGCGGGCAGCCTGACAGGACACACAGGGGCCCTGTCTGGGCCGGCAGCAGTGGGAGGCCCTGAGCTCTGGAAGAGGGCTGGCTCCAGTGGGGGCTCAAAGGGGCCTAGTCCAGCCCGGAGCCAGGAGGGATCTCTCCCGCTTTCCCAGACTGAACCCCTAAGAGGGGCCTGGCTTAGCTGACTGGCCTTTTGCGGGCCCCCTGTGCCCAGGTCTGAATAATTGGCAAGGGCTGTGGCTCACAGTTGGGATTGGAGAATAGGAGTGATGGGGACAGTCATCGTGGGAGAGAAGACTCAGCTCTGGCTCTGGGATAACAAGCGTGGACCAGGAGTAGAAAAGGACAGAGGCCACAGGCTGCTGGGGGGTGTTCTCTGGACTGTGAGGGCAGCGGGCACTGGGGATGGCCACCAGAGGGTGCCCTCAGTGGCTCTCTAGAGTCTACAGAACAGAGCCAAGAGTCCCCAAGGTGGGTCAAGGCCGTTCACAGACTGATGTTACCTTCTCAGTCCTCTTCCTCCTGGCGACCCCTCCCCCACACTCCAGCCACATGGACCCTCCTGCAGTTAATGATGACAACCATCCTGGCAGTCCCACTAACACTAGAGTACTTAATATCCTCCTATTGCTCTAAGCACCGCGTTTGTTTAACCTGATTAACCTCCTCAGGGATGTCATGAAGTGGCTACTAATATTATCCAAATTATGTATTTGAGGAAACTGAGACACAGGATTCAAGGTCACACAACTCCCAGGAGAGGTCAAACAACTCACCCAAGTCCCACAGCTAGTAGGGACTTAAGAGCCCAGGTTTATACCCAGGCTGCCTAGGAAAAGAGCCTGCACACTTCACCACATTGCCGTCCACTTCCCTGACTACACGCTGCACCTTCCGGCTTCTGCACCTTTATATAGCAAGCCCAGGTCACCTCCTCTGTGAGGCTCTCCTGCCGACCTCTATTCCCCCAGCCCCTATCCAGCAGAAGTCCCGCCTGGTCCCCTCCGTAGTTAGTATCCCTCTCTGTTATGATGACGACTAGGCTTCAGTCATCATTCTTTACCTTGCTGCCTCCCCCACCATGTTGCAATAGCACTCGAGCATTTACACATCTACACATCCATGTTATGTATGTATGTGTGTATTTTTAAAGGTTTATTTTAGAGAGTGCGTGAGTGTGGGGAGAGGGAGAGGGAGAGAATCCCCAAGCAGACTCCCCACTGAACGTGGAGCTGGATCCTAGGACCCTGAGATCACGACCTGAGCCGAAATCAAGAGTTGGACGCTGAACCAACTGATCCACCCAGGCGCCCCATCCATGGTTTTTAACTGGACCCTCACTGATGCTCCACAAGGCAGGTAGAGAGAGTTCTGTTAGAAGTCCAAGACTAGTGGATGCCTGGGTGGCTCAGTCAGTTAAGCGTCTGCCTTCAGCTGGAGTCGTGATCCCAGGGTCCTGGGATCCAGTCCTGTGTCGGGCTCCCCGCTCAGCGGGCAGCCTGCTTCTCCCTCTCCCTCTGCCTGCCGCTCTGCCTACTTGTGCTCTCTCTATCTCTCTGTCAAATAAATAAATAAAATCTTAAAAAAAAAAGAAGTCCAAGGCAAGTGATCAAATCTTTAGAAACAGAGATAGGAATAAAGTAGTCCCGAAATGTTTCTGATTTTCAGCTACCAAATTAGGAAATAAAACCCCCAAAGTCAGCAACAGCCAACTTTCTAGAGAAATGGAAAAGAAAAGAAATTTGCATGGATAGATCTGTGACTGTCTTTCATCTTCTCGGCGACCAGACATGGACGCGGTGGGGATTCTGTGTCAAAGCAGACTGAGGTGCAGCCAGGCCCAGCGCTTTGCTAAGGAGCAGGGATTCAAACCCACATCTGTCTGCTCTTTCCTCTACATCCAGGAAAGAGAGTTAGAAAAACCCAAGATAGTCCTTGGCCTCCGGGAGTCGTGGCTCTACTGGGACGGAGTGTTGGGACTGAGAACTTTAGGGGTTTAGAGGAGAGAGGGGTGCCTGGGTTAGTAGAGGTGGGGGAAGGGGCATCCCAAGGGACTGAATGAGCAAGGCTTGGAGGTGGTCCAACCCAGGCTGTGTTCACACAGCACCCGGCTGCAATGTTTTAAATGCCATGCCCGAGAGACTTGCCTTCTAGTGAGTTGTAATTTCTGAGCAAAAGCTATAGATACCTTGTACCTATCCGTAAATCGGGGTCCTTTGTCCCTTATCAGAAATCCTGGCACCAAATGTGTTTTGAAATTCAGATGCTGCCTGATTTTACAAAGGTAATCATGTGCTACCCCCACACAACCGAACTGTCTGACTTGGTTCACCCGAGGCACCAGCCTACACCGGAAGGCTCGAGGTACATCCCAGCTCGCAACAAGGCCGCTCCAGAGGTCCAGGAGCTCGTCTTTGCCCCCCGAGAGTGGCGGCTAAGGAGTGAGGAGATGATTGGGCAGGTGCCGGAACTGCCCTGGCCTCAGTGAAGCCACACGTGCCCCAGAGGCTGGGCTCCCTTGTAACACCACAGACGTAGCTGCTGGGGTCCTCACAAGAAGTCACCACACTCACACTCAGGGAAGCCCAAAGCCATGGATTCCCCACTCATAGTTTCTTCCAGTCCAGGTATAGTTTACCATTCTGGGTCATTTTTACCATAAGCAGTGTTGCCTGCTTACGTATATAGTTACCACACCCCTTTCATCTGGTCTCCAGGAGACAGGTTGGCAGGGGGTTAGCTCATGCTGCAGGGAAAAGGCTTTGTTCACCCTTTACCCGCACTTGGATATGCCATGTATTTGGTAACATCTCCAGCGAGGCGGCAGTATCCCATAATCAGACATTAATATTCCAGCTGCAAAATGTATCACATCAACAGTAACAGGAAGTGGGATAGGTGAAGATTAAACTAACCTCACAGCAGCTCAGGTCAGGTTTTGTACCAAATGGGTTATGCAACAACGTTTCAGGATTCAGAGCTTTTGGAGTTTGGTATTTGGAAGGGAGATCCCAGAGGTGTACCTTTCTTTCCTTCTTAAGAAATTCCTTGAAACACGAAAGACATGCAATTTGCCTGTTTCACCACCAGAGGGCCCCAGGTTATCATTCTGTTCAGGATCCTTGCTAATGGAGGTTTTTCCTCACTTCAGCTTGCAGATGCCAGCAAGTTACCCAACCTGAAAGACCTTCTCCAGTCCTCTGGAGACAAAGACATACGGACCAGGGACCTGGTGAGCTGGATTTTATCCTCAAAGGTCCTGACAATCCACAGTGCAGGGAAGTCAGAGGTGAGACTTTGGTCTATAGGACAGCAGATCCCTAAGGCTGAAGGGCTCTGGGACCTCTTTGTGCACCAGAATGGCCTGGGAAGCTTGCTGAAAATGCAGATTCCTGGACCTTGTCCTGAGAGATGCCGATTCTGTGTCAGGAGTGGGCTCAGGAACTTGCATGCCGGCAGTGCAAAGCTGTGTTTTCCCCGTTAGGGTGAACCTGAAGCAGGCCACCGGGTGCATCTCAGTATCTCAGTCTCCTCATCTATAAAATGGGGATAGCAATGGTATACTTCCATCAGGGAACTGGCTGTGAGAACGGAATGAATCTTCCCAGCTAGAAGAATGCCTTAGGGTACATGCTAAGGGCTCAGGAAATGTTCGGTATCACAAGCACCCCAGGTCAATCCAACAAGGATGGGCCCTTGACCACACCTTAAGAAACACTGGCCTCATCCAGTTGTCAGGAAACAGAGTGGTAGAACCTGGTTAATGGAACACTTCAGGCTCTGGGGTCAAATCCCACTTCCATCCAATATTGAGTCTCCTTTTCCCCATTTGTACACTGAGAATATTAAGTTACCTCAGAGGGGAGCTATGGTAGAATGTATGGCACCCCCAGTATAGTTTCTGGCACAGACCAGACATTCCGTAATCTGGTTTCCCTTGCCTGGCCGGGATCTCCCTCGGAGCTCCCCCAGGGATGGCAGATCCCTGATCTGGTGCTCCTTCCTCGGAGAAGCAGCAGGGGTTTATAGGTGTTGTTCTTTACTTCATCAATTTCAATTTAAGAGCATTTAATCTTACAAGCTCCTGCTAAAGACAAAAGTCCTCCTCAAGTGGCATAGAACTGGGTGTTTCGGATTCTGGTGTCCAGGGGCGTCCACCTGTGTTGGTAAAGGGTCAGTAACACAGAGAGCCCTGGAGTGGGAGTCAGGAGATCCATATTCACGTCCAGGCTGGGTTGCTAACTCAGATGATCTCTGGGTTTCACTTCTGTCATCTGCTAAATTGAGATTTATTCGTTCCTCATATGGGTATCAAGCATCTACTAGATGTTGGGTACTGTAGGTAAAGTAGATAAGGCAGTGGCTCCTTGACTTTTATTATGGGTCAGTTAAATTTCGTTCAAATGTGGAGTGTTGGCATCATATGGAGTGAGGATTGTCAGCTTTTTATTGTGCCCAAGTAAGGACATTAGGTTGCCATGTATCATCACTTTATAAAAGGATATTTTAATACAGAAAACAGAGGATGGCCACAAAAAAGGAGGATGGCCCCCCAAAAAGGACAAAGAAAGGATCATGGCAACCTGACAGCAGTATAAACATATCTGTTATGTTGTCCTTATTTTTCTCATTTAGTCACAACCCAGAGAAAACAGACTGGCTTTGGTCTTTGACTTACTGTTGAGAAATCACCCAAATGATGTGGTCTCTGCCCTGAGAAGGATTAGTGCCCTTCAGGAAGAGCTTACTCTTCCCTATCAATTAGGTTTTGTTGCATAACAAACCATCCCCCAAACCTAGGACTTAAAACAACATTGATTGTTTCTCATGATTCAGTGGGTTAGTTGGGTTGTTGTTCTGGACGGGGCTGGATGATCTACGGTAACCTCACATGTCTGGGTCTTCAGCTGGGATGGCTGCTGTGGTGGGGGCCTCCGCTGTGAGGCCCTCATCCTACTGAAGGCTAGCAGGGCTTGTTCCCATGGTAGTGAAGCGTTCGCAGCAGGAGGCCCTTTTCAAGTTTCTGCGTGCTATATATATAGGGTCAGAGCAAGTCACATGGCCAAGCCCAGATTCAAGGGGCAGAGAAGAAGATGCCACCTCTTGATGGAGTTCTGGAATTCTGCCTGCAGAATCATTTACAGAGGGGCAAATGGACAAGGATGGGAGCAAAAGTTTTGGGCCATTTTGCACTCGATCACACATTTCTACCTCCTGAGATTATTGTAAAGATGGAATGCAGGAAATGGATGTGATGGTGTTATGAAAATTAGAGGTAGTCTTTAGTTAGAAGGAGCAGTTCATGCTTTGCAGCCTGGTGTAGGGAAAAACAGTATTAGAGGGAAGCAGTCTTGAGCTGTAAGCTCTGAGCTTATTTATAAATTGTTGTCTGTATTCTCATGAAACTAGTTATTCTCATGAGCGGAGCCCGTAGGAGCCCTAAGCCCAGAGCTTTAGGAGGCCATTTTGGCAGCACATCTTACGAGCTTCCCAAATAAAACTGCGACTTCCTACGTGTTTTCAAGTTCGAAAAGATCCAAAAGCTGACTGGTGCCCCTCACACGCCTGTCCCCGTGCCGGACTTCCTGTTTGAAATTGAATACTCCAACCCAGCGAACGCCAAATTTTATGAGACCAAAGGAGAACGGGACCTAATCTACGCCTTCCACGGGAGCCGCCTCGAGAACTTCCATTCCATCATCCACAATGGGCTTCATTGCCACCTGAACAAGGTGGGGCCTAAGCCTGCTGACAGGGGGTCAGAACCCTGGGGCATTTGCTGGTGGGGGCTGGGGGGAGAGGTTCACTAAGGCCTTGCCACTCCCGAGTGTGGTCTGCAGACCAGTAGCAGCACCAGCACCTGGGAGCCTGTGAAAATGCAGAATCTGGAGCCCACCCTAGACCTTCTGAATTAGAACCTGCATTTTAACAAGATCTCCGGGTGATTCCTATACTGATTACAGTTTGAGAAGTATTGATTTAAAGATGGTTCCCAGCCTCTGCCCATTTGGAATGACTTGGGGAGCTTTTAAAAATCCCAATGCTTGGCTGCATCCCAAACCAATTAAATCAGGATCTCGGGTGTGGGGCCCAGATACCAGTATGCTTTAAAAGCCAGGTGATTCCAGTGTGTAGCCAATCCTCGTGACTCAGCATGGTCCCTGGCCCAGCAGCATCCACCTCACCTGAGAGCTTGTCAGCAGGTGGAATCTCAGGCACACCCAGACCACCTGATCAGGGGTCACGTTAACAGGCTCACCAGGTGACTCGTATGCACGCTGAAGTTTGAGAAGCACTTGCCTGGGAGGAGAGCCTCCTAGGAGCCAGGAAAGACCACCTTAGCAGCTCTGTGTCCTGGGCAGATTTCCTTAACCTCTCTGAGCCTCAGTGTCCCCATCTGTAAAATAGGATGTCATTACCCACCTTCTGGTGTGCTGAGAGGATTCAGACAGTTGATATATGCAAAGGGCTCTTCCCATACTAGACTCCAAGAAAGCAGTGGCTGCTTTCATAGGCGGATGGAGAGGGACTCTGGGGTAGTCAGAGGGCTGCGGCCTCCCCCCAGTCATGCCAGCATCTGTCTCGTCGGAGGGGCTGGTTCCGTGAGCCATGGGCTCAGCTGTGGCCGATGCAGCCCCGGGGCTGGAGAGACTTTTCCAACACTGCTGTAGCTGATTAGTGCAGTTGGGTTTTGCACAGGATGATAGGCTTGTTTATACTGGCTCTTAGCTTATTATGGCCAGGCTACTGGAATCCAGGGGGCCTCTGCTTCATGGCAGAGCCTGCCTGGAGAAGCCACCTGCAGATTACAGGCTTGTACAGCAAACCTTCACGTCAGTGTCCAGGGAGTTGCTGCTTAGAGGCATCTTGTCAGAGTCCTTTCGTAAAGCTGATGCTCTGTTGACCACTTCTGTCTGGGTTTTCAGTGAGGGGCTTGCTCAAGGGAGCTTACTTGCCAGATGAAGATTTGAGATTATTTTCATAGTACAGATACCCCACCTTTCCCACTCTCTCGTGCCTCTGCTCACAGCAGTCTTGCTCGAGGTTCTTGAGTCGAGGGGGTCTAGTCTGTGTATATATGGCAGCCAGAGTTTAGAATGGATGTGGAGTCAGATCAGATGACATCCAGTGTCCTTGGAGAATGTTTGTGTCAGCTTCTGAGACATGGGGACACTGCCTAACTTGGCAAGGGGCTTCCCAAAGGTAAAGCAAAGGCTTGTTTCATTCTCCCTAAGCTTCACCGAACCAGCTTAGAATTATGGAAGCCTGGTGCCACTGAATAGTACATCTCTCAGTTCCCAAGCTTAGGGTGTTCAGTGAGTAGTTTGAGTTCACTCAACAGATACAGATACTGCAACCCCAAAGATAGCAATTGAATTTCAACTTGAATTTCAAATTCCATCCATTGGTAGCCGCTACCTGAAATGAGAAGGATTCTGAGTCAGTCTGACTGAGTGCCACAATTGATATTTTTGTGTTGGCCATCATGGTTGATTATTGGCCCTTTGCCATGGTCTACCATGGGCAGAAGATGTGTTTGCTGTGCCTGCAGTTCTATCACCTGGGCTCATTCTCTCTCCCCTGACACGCTTCCTCATGGAGGACATCAGTTAGACCCTACCACTAGGGACCTGCCTCCTAGATTTTGGACATTTTCTTGGTTGACACCCACACAAAGCGTAATACTTACCCTGCCCCTAATACAGGCCTGCCTTATTTGGTTACACCTTCTGGTCTGAGATTCATTTCTTTTCTACATGACAACTTAGGTCCCTTCTACCCTCAAGTATGATCCCCCTCCCTGTGCAAAAGTGCATGACTTTGCTTCTGCAGGGCCATCCGTATAACCATGCTAAATGCATTCGTGTAACAGGAATTACAAATATATTCTGACATTCTTGCCACTCCTCCTGTGCCAGGTGTCCAGCTCAATGCTTTATGTACATTATCTCATTGAATCCTCACCAATGATGTTGTGAAGGAGGTACTCTCATCACTGTTTTGTAGATGTAGAAACTGAGACCCAGAGAGTTTCTATAACTTGCCAGCTTGTTGGAGGTGCAGTCCCGATTCAAACTCAGATCTGTTTGGGGCGCCTGGGTGGCTCAGTGGTTAGGTGACTGCCTTCGGCTCAGGTCATGATCCTGGAGTCCCGGGATCAAGTCCCGCATCGGGCTCCTTGCTCAGCAGGGAGTCTGCTTCTCCCTCTGACCCTCCCCCCTCTCATGCTCTCTCTCTCTATCTCATTCTCTCTCAAATAAATAAATAAAATCTTTAAAAAAAAAACAAAAAAACTCAGATCTGTTGGGACTCTTACACCTACGTATTTCTCACTCAACCTTGATCACTAACTTGCCAGGCTAGGCGGGCACATCCACAATCAGTTAAACTGTCGTCAGATAGGAACGTGTTTATAATTATAACTCTGTGATGATGTCTTAGAAGGAGTTGACATTATATGCCTTTTCCAGGGGGAAAAAGAGGCTTGAGACTTTTGTGTTTACAGTTCTGTTGAAGAAAGACCTACGTCTTCTTGCTGTGCCAACTACATTCACTCAGCCCTGTTTCTTTATTAACCTCTGCCATTCCAGACATCCTTGTTTGGGGAAGGGACCTACCTCACCAGTGACTTGAGCCTGGCCCTCATTTATAGCCCCCATGGCCTTGGATGGCAGCGCAGCCTCCTTGGCCCCATCCTCAGCTGCGTGGCTGTGTGTGAAGTCATTGATCATCCAGATGTCAAGTGCCAAACGAAGAAGAAGGGTGAGTAAGCACTTGGCCTGGACCCGGGCTGCAGGCCTCTTAAATGTACAGGCTCTTGCTGTTGGCCCATCTGCCAAGGGATGGGCTGGGTCCAAAGCAACCTGAGACAGGAGCTTGCCTTCAAGGAGTGAGCAGTGTCCTTAGGGACACATGGTGGAAAAGATAAACTTACTATGAGGTGGTGGACAGAGAATGCCAGGGGAGGGGGCTGATGAGGTCCACAGGAGCAGCCAAGAGGAAGGTGCATTCAATCAGAGTAGGTCCAAGCGCTCAGGGAAAGCTCTGGGGAGGAGGTGAGCTTCAATAGACAAAAGTGAGCGTGTAAGGCCAGAATCTGGGCTCCTTGAAGGCAGAAACTGGGTTTCAGTCACCCTTGAGCACCTGGTATCTGCGGAGAGCCTGGAACATGCTTGACATTCCGTAGGTATTTGCTAAACTGAAGCTAAAGACGTGGATCCAGACCCTGTCCCTCCAGGCTACTCTGGTGTGTGCCCGGGTGGGTGCCCAGAGGACAAGGGAGACAACCGAAGCCACGGGGAGTAAATCCCGGGCTCTCCGAGGAGCAGATGACTAGCTAGCCACCTCAGTCCACTCTGATACATTCCTTGGAGTCTCTGCCTCGTGCACCCTGCTGTTTTGCTCTCAGAAGCAGAAGAGTCACAGAACTGTTATTCTAGTCTCCAGAACTGACTTGTTGCTTCCACTGAGAAAAGGAGAATTGAGAAAACTGTCTGTTCCTGGCCTCTAATGTAAAACAACTGGAATCCTGAGGAACGGGCCCAGGTCTGACGCCACCCTTCCAAACTGGGCAGCGTGAATATTTGCATTTATAATTCTTAAGAAGTTTGCAAACTCTGACCTTAAACATCAGAACAAAACCTTGCAGTGTCTGCTGTCACATAGCTTTGTTTGTTTGGTTTTGTAAAGCTTCATTACGTTTTTTAAAAAAGTTTTGGGTTTTTTGTTTTGTTTTTTAAACAAGTCTTGGTACAAAGGGTGGACCGTAAGAGTTCTAAGAAGCTCAAAAATCTGGGTGGTTAATTTAAAATGCCTGTTAAGAGACTCATTTTAGGTCAAGTCCTTTACCTAAGCCCAGATCTTTTTTTTTTTTTTTTTTGTTACGGCCATCCATCTGCTTCTTCCCTCTGCTTTCCCAACTCAGTTTTTCCCCCCTTGTATCCCCTATTATTTTCCTGTGTTTTTGTTTTGTTTTGTTTCCCTCTCTGGTTTGTCAGATTCGCCTACTTTTTTAGCACTGCTTCGTACACACAGGCCATTCCTCAGCCTGCTGGGGCTTCTCCACCCTCACAACCAGGAGGCTTGACCTGTTTCTACTCATAATTTGCTCCTCTCATTACTGAATGTCCCCCCAGTAAAGCTGTACTTAATTCTCCTTATTCAGATTCCAAGGAGATAGATCGCAGGAGAGCGAGAATCAAACACAGTGAAGGGGGAGACATCCCCCCGAAGTACTTTGTGGTCACCAATAACCAGCTCCTGCGCGTGAAGTACCTGCTGGTGTACTCGCAGAAGCAGCCCAGCAGGTAAGGGGGGCGGACCCCGCCAGAGGCCCAGGACAGCACCTCAAAGCTGCATTCCGAGTATCGGGTTCTCCGTTATCGGCTTCCCTTGCCCCCAGCCTCAGACTTGAGCTGTGCGTGAAGTGTATAAAACACTCCGCTACACATGGCGAGGGGTGAGGAAGAAGGGTCTGAGGGGATGTGGTCCTGGCCCTAAGAGGGACTGTATGTTCCTAGCGAGGAAGATAGAGACTTGTAACTCAGCAGCAGATGAGACCGTTCAGCGCCTCAGAGCCATGGCGATGCCTCAGCCCAGCTCCGCAGTGTGGTAGCGGGTGGATGTGCGGGGCTCTCCAGGGTCAAGGGTTGCTTTGAGATCCTGTCGCATGGTTGGGTCTGTGGCAGAGCTTCTGATGGGGACGAGCAGCAGAGGAGCAGGTCAGATAGGAAAGGGGGTCACTTTTAATACACCCCACTCCAGTGGTCTCCATGCTTCAAGATTTCATACACTGGTAAAATCCTCCCCTCGCCCAGCCCAACTGTGGGGAAATTTGTATAGGGTTCCTGAGTCTGAGGAACATTATCCTTTGGTTTGAAACCGTCTGGCTTTTTCTACTTGCAGTTTCCATTCCTTTCCCACTTCTCCCTGGAGTGTCTCTTTTTTTTTTTTTTTTTTTTTTTAAAGATTTTATTTATTTATTTGAGAGAGAGAGAATGAGAGACAGAGAGCATGAGAGGGGGGAGGGCCAGAGGGAGAAGCAGACCCCCCGCTGAGCAGGGAGCCCGATGCGGGACTCGATCCCGGGACTCCAGGATCATGACCTGAGCTGAAGGCAGTTGCTTAACCAACTGAGCCACCCAGGCGCCTTGAAGTAAAACTCTTTTTTTTTTTTTTTTTAAAGATTTTATTTATTTATTTGAGAGAGAGAATGAGATAGAGAGCATGAGGGGGGGAGGGTCAGAGGGAGAAGCAGACTCCCCGCTGAGCAGGGAGCCCGATGCGGGACTCGATCCCAGGACCCTGGGATCATGACCTGAGCCGAAGGCAGACGCTTAACCGACTGAGCCACCCAGGCGCCCGAGTACTCTTTGTTTTAATGGCACTTTCTTTCTTTTTATCTTTGTTTTTTGTTTTTTTTTGTTTTTGTTTTAAAGATTTTATTTATTTATTAGAGAGAGAACATGAGAGGGGGGAAGGGCAGAGGAAGAAGCAGACTCCCCACCGAGCAGGGAGCCTGATGTGGGACTCGATCCTGGGACTCCAGGATCATGACCTGAGCTGAAGGCAGTCGCTTAACCAACTGAGCCACCCAGGCGCCCTAAACATTGATTTTTATTTTATTTTATTTTTATTTATTTATTTATTTTTATCTTTTTAAAGATTTTATTTATTTATTTGAGAGAGAGAATGAGAGACAGAGAGCACGAGAGGGAAGAGGGCAGAGGGAGAAGCAGACCCCCCGCCGAGCAGGGAGCCCGATGCGGGGCTCGATCCCAGGACCCTGGGATCAAGACCTGAGCGGAAGGCAGCCGCTTAACCAACTGAGCCGCCCAGGCGCCCCTATATAACATTCTTTTTTTTTTTTTTTTTTTTTAAGATTTTATTTATTTATTTGAGAGAGAGAGAAAGAGAGAACATGAGAGGGAAGAGGGTCAGAGGGAGAAGCAGACTCCCCGCCGAGCAGGGAGCCCGATGCGGGACTCGATCCCGGGACTCCAGGATCATGACCTGAGCCGAAGGCAGTCGCTTAACCGACTGAGCCACCCAGGCGCCCTAAACATTGATTTTTATTTTATTTTAATTTATTTTTTTTATTTTTTTTAAGATTTTATTTATTTATTTGAGAGAGAGTAAGAGAGAGCACATGAGAGGGGGGAGGGTCAGAGGGAGAAGCAGACTCCCCGCCGAGCAGGGAGCCCGATGCGGGGACTCGATCCAGGGACTCCAGGATCATGACCTGAGCCGAAGGCAGCCGCCCAACCGACTGAGCCACCCAGGCGCCCTAAACATTGATTTTTATTTTATTTTAATTTATTTTTTTTATTTTTTTTAAGATTTTATTTATTTATTTGAGAGAGAGTAAGAGAGAGCACATGAGAGGGGGGAGGGTCAGAGGGAGAAGCAGACTCCCTGCCGAGCAGGGAGCCCGATGCGGGGACTCGATCCAGGGACTCCAGGATCATGACCTGAGCCGAAGGCAGCCGCCCAACCGACTGAGCCACCCAGGCGCCCCTGGAGGGTCTCTTGAGTGCACACTTGGACGCTTTAGATCATCACCCAGTGGGCCAAAGAGGACATCCCAGCTCAGACTGATATCTGTACATGTCTCAGTGAAAGACTTGTGCTAAATAACCTGCCACCTGCTGCCATCTGGGCAGACACCCCGAGCAAGGTCATTCTTCTAGATACCAAAGTCCCGCGGGAGGAAAGACAGGTCGTAAAAGGTGCAAGAGGAGCCATAGGAGAGAAGATCAGGATGAGCTCATTGCATAGCTGTCTTTGTACCTTTAGAAAATGTTTCTGGTGAAAGATGTGTTGGTGCTAGGCAAATAGCCCCAGATTTTTTGAGCAAAGGAGCACGCACGAAGCTTCATTTCATGGCTCACCCAGAGGATGAAATTCATCATTTCATCTTCTTTGAGCCAGAAGTTGTTGCACACACTTAGAAAAAAAATGGTTTTCTCTTCTTGCCAACATCCCTTTCTCTCCCCCCCTTAAGCAGGCCTTCCAGCCAGCTGTCCTGGTTTTCCAGCCATTGGTTTACGGTCGTGCTATCCCTGTATCTGCTGTTGCTGCTTATTGTGAGTGCCATCAGTTCCTCAGCTTTCCAACACGTTTGGAATCGTGCAAAGAGATAATCCCTCTGGGCCTGGTGTGGGGGCCTCCTCGACCACGTGCCTTACGATACAACCTGTTCTGCACCCCCCGTGCCCCCCGTCCAACTGGGTGGGGTCTGGGGGCCAGCTGGGGACCACAGGACAATTTTCATATGCCATAAACATACTGATTGCCTTTAATGATGCTCCCGGCCACACTCCGGTCAGTGGGGACCACGAGTCCCCTCACTCTGAGGTTTCAGGGGAGTCCTCCCGTCTGCTGCTTCCTAAACAATCCTAGGGAGTTGGCTTTTCTGCCAGGGCCAAAGGAAAAAGTCCTGCTGCATTTAAAAACAAAGTGTCCAAGCCGTCGGTGGTATGTTTACAATCGCTCCTGGCAGACGTTGGCCCTTTCTCTAATGCCTTCTGGAAGGTGGAATACGTGTAGTGGGGACTATAAATCACTAGGCGGTTGCCTTGTTTTGACTTGAGACACCCAAGAGGAACAGTCCTGTTTCTCATAAAAATTGGTGGGATCGTTTCTGAATTCCATCAGCCTTTGTACGTGAGTGCAAAACATTTTCACAGTTTTCCCAAATCCACAAACAGCCTTCTGCTACAGCTGTCGCCCCACTGCCCCAACCATGGATGAGAAAGGAAGGAGCCAGAGGCCTGATAAAAAAGACAGACTTGACAATGAGCAACTCATGTTATCTTTTTCTAAAAATTACCAACTGCTGATTACAGCTGAAATGGAAACACATGTTTGTTTTCTGGGTTTTTTGGGGTTTTTTTGTTTTTGTTTTTGTTTTAATAGCTATTTGACAAATTCATGTCCGGGAGCTGAGTAAAAGGGGAGATTTCTAAACCTAGAGCAGTCTTTGGCCAGTGCCCGTAGTTTCTTTCCTGGCCATGTCTTCGAGAAAAGGATTTGCGCCGCAGGCCTGCGTCCCGTTCTCGTTCTCACGAAGCTGCCTTGACTGGGGCCTCCGAGCCACAGGCGCCACGCTGCAGGCCTTCTGTGGGCCACAAATGTGCGTGGACTGAGCCTCCCTTGCAGGGGTCACAGGTCTTTGGGACTCAAGTTGGGCTTTGAAAGTGCAGAGAAGGCCTCTGGCTGCCCAGGGGAGCTGCAGTTGTCCTCGCTGATTCTCTGCCCTTCCTTCCTGCCCTGTTTCAGCCATCATGGAGCCCTGTCTGATTTGGGGTGTAGATTTCTGTGAAGAAGGTGGAAAGTCAGTTTTCTATAATCTGTGAAGGTGCGAAAAAGCCACTATCATGGTTTTTACATTGAAAATGGCAACATTTCAAAAATAATAAAGATATTTTCCTAATTACCAAGTTGTCTTTGTGACTGCTTTCAGCCTCAGCGAGAGGCTGCCGTGTGGACCTTGTTGCTAAAAATCTTATCCTCTCTTCCCTTCCCTGTTCAAGGTAGCAGTTTCCTGACAGCATGTATCACCGGGGTATCTAGTAGGTATTAGATTTCTAGTCATTGATTGAACAAATATGAGCACCTACTGTGTGCTAGGCATAAGAAATAGGAGCGGGATCAAGGTCAAAATGCCCTGCCCTCCTGGAGCTGAGGTCTGGCCAGGTGCAGATATGGACAGGCATTCCCAGGAAGGAGGTTGGATTATACTATAAAGAAGTTTTGGGAAATACTTGGCAGGGATCCTCAACTTCATCTGGGGTCAGGAAATATGGAGATGACACGTGTAGCATTGCAGAGCATCTACGGATACTGATTTCTTTAATTCTGACAACAGATGAGAAGTTGAAGTCCTGGAGAGTGTCATAGCTTGCCCAAAACTACATGGTCACGGGAAGTGGCACAGAGCGGGGAGCTGCGCTGGACAGGTTTCAGTGTGACCCTCATACCCATCATCCTCGACGGCCCCCCCGGGCTCCCAGCAAAGGTGATGTTCAACTGAAACCCGACAGAGCCATTGGTGTTAAGCTAAGAGGTGGGGGAAGAGTGTTTCAGGCAGTGGGAAGAGGACATGTAAAGACCTAGAGTTCTCGCTGGAGAAGTTAAAAGCAGGAGGGCCACACAGGAAGGGGCTGTGGTGAGCGATGGGGCTGGAGAGGTACGCAGGGGCCAGGTCATGCAAGACCATCAGAGCTGAGGGTCAGGGAGAGCCATTAGGTTTTAAGCAAGGAAATGGTAGGATCAGGTTTGGTTTCCAGGAAGATCACTCTGGCTG